AAATGAATTACACTGTTTACCCAACAAATTAAAAAAACAGGTGAAAAGAGCTGTCTTATGCTTATATATTCACTTTTCTACGTTCATCCACACACGAGACAGAACTACATCTGGTTAATATACTTCACAGTTTTGGACAGATGATTAGTAAATATATATATTAAAAAGAAAAATGTAACAAAATATTTAATTGAACATTTCTTAAGCCTGATTATCTTAAGCATGGCATGGCATAAGTTTATCTACAAAAGGGAATCAGATTACAGCTATTATTGGAAAAGGTACAAAGTTCATTGGTAACAGTAAAGGCAGTGGTTTTGGTATGTTAGTAGAAAGCTAAATAAATATTTTTAATGCCATCAGTCTTTATGAGTCTAGACATACTCTAGGCAACTGTAGTCCACAACATTTTTCAGTGTTGCCTCAAAAAAAAAAAAATCAAAACTGGAGCTGAATTTTTAACTCAACTGTGTCAGGTTTTACTCATATTCTCTTAAGTTGATAGACAACTTGATGCTCTCATCTGGAAGGCAACAGGTTGTCAAATGCAAATCTAAAGAGGATTCCATGTTCTGCCATCTATAACAATGATCAGTCTGTCAGCGTTCCAGGAAAACAAACTCCAACCCCAAAACAGGCATTTTCTCAAAGTTCCATTTTATTAGAGTTGTCATCCTGGCACATCTGGGAAAACCTGAGTCTGAGTGTTCCAGTTTTCCTCCAATAATTAAAAAGCACAAAATCCACCCCCTGCACCCATCACTCCATCACATGGCCCGATCACCATCTGTTCCAACTTGAGACATCCCTTAAACCACTCATCCATGTGCAGGAATAACATGACCTTGACTGTAGAGAAACATGCTATTATGTCTAACTACAAACATTCTACAAAATCCTCCCTCCAATTTCCCAGGCACAGGAATGTGACATGGAAGCTTCTGGTGCTAATATGGCTTCCAAAGCTGACACAGTCAACATAAATCCAAAGCTCATTAAGAACTAGGGACAATATACATTTCGTATTACAGTACCAGGCCAGAAATAGAGAGGCAACTGTTAACAAAAGCACAAGCTACGTTGGCTCTATCGTAGCCTTCTTGTGGACTATTATTGCTATACCCTTATTTGCCTACCTTTGTAAGAACTTGTTAAAACTACTACTGCTTATGTGGCATAATAGCAACACAAGAAGTTTAACAATTATGTAGCATTATGAGAAACAAACAGGCAATGAATTAAGTCAACTCTTGACAAATATAACTTAAACAAAATGCTTTAGTGAAATTTTCTGCATCTAACTTGTATTCACATAGAATCTTAGTGTTAGAGTTTGAAATGTAAACTGTATGGTGGAATATATAAACATTAATAGAAAACCTTGTGCATGAGACTGTGATAGTTATAATTTATTTATATGTATTTGGAAATTTACCGTTTCCAATATATGCTGCTAAAAAAATAGGATGGTGAAAATGCATATAATAAAAATATTTCATATATAATGTGTATATATATATATATATATATATAATCAGCTAAACTGCAAAAAGAAAGTAAAACTGGAATACTGTAATGTGGTTAAAAAAAGAGAAACAAAACCAGAGTGTTGGAATAAGATTTATTAATGATTAAAACAAACCAGTAATATCTGATACTTTATCATCAATTAGCATTTTAGAATGAATTATAGAATACTAGGATATTATTTGTTCTAAAAAAGCATTAGTAGTGAACTTATCTCAGGTATTTAGGGTTCATATTTTATTTTCTAAATATACCTAGGCTATATCTCTAAATATTAATTGCCAAATGCCTCTCTCAAATCAAGAATGTGTATCCTATCTAAATATTTATGCTTTTTCCATAATATTATACCCTGTCCATCATTATTGAGAGCTGCTGTCAGAATTTTAAGTGTTATATATGTGTTTGTTTCTGGTTTGCTTAATTTGGTAGAATTAGGCCATCATATTGTAAAACACTTCCATTTAAAGCACTGAAAGACTAAATGTAACTAGAGTTTAAAAGTAGAAAAATATATTTAAATAATATTATTTTATTTAATCATGTAATCATATTGCCATGACCTTACCTGTTATTTGCATGTATATATGCATATATGCATTGTGTAACTACACACAGTCATGATGTAAAAAGTAATGCAATTAATGAGCTATCTTATTTCAGAATGTGTTCGCAGCATTAACACATTATGTAAAACAAAAACAATTTTTACAAGTTGAATTGTTTCTCACACTTCTCATATCAAGCCAAAAGTCAAAGAAAATGACTGCTTGTGCAACAGGATGCCATTGGAGGTCCATCAAGCCAAGAACCATAAGCAGAGGAACCCATATTGTAAGCCAGAACTGGGAAGTCTTGGCTGCACTCAAATGCCTCTGCAGATTTCTTTAGTATCTGAATAAAACCTGAATGCCTCATAGATTATCTCAGAAGAAACTGAATAGAGACTCCTCTCAACGCAAGGCAAAATAACCTCATTCTAAATACACTTTCCTGCATGTATTTTAATCCTTTTTATCTTTGCAGGAGTTACAGAATCAATATATTCTGTCTTGAATTGTTCAGAATATCAGCCATTCAAAGTGAGTCCACAGAATCACCACTATTATTCTAGACATGCACTGAAGACATGAACATTTCAAAGACCTTTTTTTCATCTAATGCCAATTCAAACTTATCATAATTTCACAATGATTATGATGAAGAGACAATCTCTCATTAAAAAAAGAAAACCCCTGTAAAACTGATAAAAAGAAGAGTTTATATATAAATATGCTAGTTTTATCATGTGAATATGCAAGTATACATCTATATCAGGGGTGTCAAACTCACGTCGTCACGTGACTATTGTGATTCTCCATCTTCACTAAACAAGGTCCATGACACATGACGCGAGTTTGACAGCCCTGATCTATGTGGATTGATAAAGGAGAATATTTGTAGCTCACGGTTGACATTGGTGCTCTCTGAGCTCACTTGTTTCCTTGCAGATGTTTCATTAACCAAATTAGGTAACATCATCAGTGCTACCCAGTGCTATATGGATTGATTATTATATCCTGTGTAGCACCATTTTCTCACTAAACTGAAGTATGCTTGATTCACAGTAATTTGATTAGGCATAAAATTAGTATCACTGTGTTTAGCTGTTGACACCAGAATAGCTGATAGATCTGTTTGACTCTAGTGCATCATGACTCCACTGAATCAACACATCTTTAGCAACACCCCTCCCAAGTTTCAGAATGAACATCATGTAAAAGTAATTTCCACTGGATTTCCCCTAGACTGGGATCTCAAACATAGGCAGGAGGAAAGAGAATTATAGGCTATAATTCCCTTGGTAGTATCTTACAAGTTGATAGTATATGTTTTGGAGAATTATTTATGGAAATAAGGGCTTGCCTAAGTAATTTTTAACTTATGAAAATACAATATTTACAGCTTTATGATATATAGCATGCTGTGCTTTGTAGTGTATGACAAGAATGCCTAATGTCTAGAAGGACATGATCTGTTGTTGGGATGGCATGCTTTTTTATGGTACAAAGGAACTAAAACACAGGGGTATTTTAGAAGACATTATATACGGGAGTCTCTGTTAAACTGGGAGAAGACTAAAAGGCAATGTTATTTGAAATTTCCAGTCTGGTTATCGACTATTGAAGCATTTTCCTATCCTATAATATATAAAAAGGAACAAACAGTTAGATATGGTGAAATATTGAATGAAAAGGGTGAACTTAAATCTATGCAAAAATTAGAGGAACAAGGTATAAAGATGAATTGGTTTTCAAATGCGTAAATACATTCATGGTATGACAAAGATTCTAAAACAGAAGGTTTCTATGATAACTGACTGATTTAGATAAGATTTTGACAGGTACTGATGAAAAGGTGATTAAAAAATTGTATGGATATTTATTAGAAATTAAACTAGAAGAAGAACAAGTTAAAGAAACTATGATTGCTTGGGGGAAGAATTTTAGATATGGGATTAATCTAGAGAAATGGCAAAAATTGTGGTCTCAAAATTACAAAATGACAATGTCAACAGCATATAAAGAAAATTTGTATAAGATGTTTTACAGGTGGCATTTTCCCCCAACAAGAATAGCAAGAATGTTCAAGAACAAATCTGAAAAATGTTGGAAATGTCATCAGATACCTGGCTCATATTACCATATGTGGTGGACTTGTGCGGATGCCAAAAAATATTGGACTAAAATCCATACGTGGTTGGAAAAAATGACAAAAAAGCATATAGATTTGAAACCAGAAATATTTTTATTGGGAATTTTACCTGAAATACATAGTAAAGAATTGAAATATCTGATTGTAAATGTATTAACAGCACGTAGGATTGTGTTTGTCAAAAACTGGAAAAATGAGAAAATATATTACAGGAGGAAATCATTAAGAAAATATTGGAATGTGCTGAAATGGGTAGATTGACATTTTGAAATCAGAGAACAAGATGATAAACAATTTTATAAAATTTGGGATTTATTCTATCAACGTTTAGACAATAAAATATAGTAATGAAATATGTAGATCTTTAGAAAATAATAAGTATATAAAGATGTATTTTTTTCTTATTATATCTACAAAATGATTGTAGGATAGATTTGAGATGATAATATGAACTGTCATAAAACAAATTAAGTAAAATATGGATTATCTCATAAAACATGAATAATAATATAGTCAAATGATTAACAATGATATTAATGTATTTAATATTTGATTGACAATATGAGAAACATATACAATGTAATTGTAATTGAAGACTACGAAATGGAAGCATAAAAAAATTTGTAAACCAACCGACACACTGTATGTATACATATATATGGAAGATGGCTTGATGTTTTTATGTTTTGTCTATGTTTGTCTTAAAAAACAATATTTTTTTAAAAAAAAGATTGCCTAATGTCTGTTTTATATTTGAAATCAATTAACTGCATCGGTTCTTACATTTCTTCCTCTGCTGAAAGTTCGCCGGCTGACCAACTGGAACTTTTTCCCTTCAGATTAAGATACGAAGCAATTGGAGTTGTTGTAGGTGTCTGCCTTGTCAGCAGAGATTAGGCAAGGTGAAAAATTTGGGGTTATAAGTGCTGAAGGAGATTTCAAATGATGGATATCAGGTGAACGGGGAGATTTAAAAAAAAAATACATCTGGCAATGAAGTTGGCAGTTGTGAGAAAAATGACTTTAAATTAGGTTGAGCTGTAGAAGCAAGCAAAGGAGGAGGAAAAAATGTAAGATTTGTTCCCTTTCGGAAAAGTATGCGTTTCAATATTTCATCCTGCAATTCTGCAATGTCACTGAACACAGAAGCAAGAGGCTTAAAGCTGGGTTCCCAGTTCAGCAAACTATTCCAGTTATAATTCTTTCCAAGATCTTTAACAGAGTTTACTATAGTAACAAGATCTTTGGCATCAGGTGCTACAATATATTCCATTGTGAGAGCTGTCATTATCTCAATTTCTTTAACTGTTACTTTTGCAAGTGTATGGGACGGCATTTTGTTGCAGAGTAATTTTCTGAAATAATGGAGAGCGTTTATGCTTTGAGAAACGGACATCATCTTATTTTCTCCAAACTGACATGAGAACCCCTTGGAATTCCTGAATCTGGTATAAATGAGCATTTGTCACTTAAAGCAGATCTAGTATCCTTCCTACAAGGATGTTCATTGGCCTTTTTTAGTTCCACATCTTCTCCAATTTCACCTTCTATTGATCCATGACGATGTGAGTTGGATTGTACACAAACACTATCAAGATTTCTCTTATCCCTGGTGCCAAGCAAACTTAGCCAATCAACTATGCACACTAAAGGAAGAGTAGTTGTTCCATGGATTTGGGGCTTTTGGAAATGTTTAGATGAGATTTTTTGTCTATGCATGCTTAGATCTATAACCGGGGGGCATGGCATCTCTTTCTTCAGGCTGCACTTGCAGGAATCTTTTAGTACATATCTACCAATAAGCACAGCAAGGCAGATGGCAATAAACAAAAATACTATGATAGAGATGGCAATGCTAACAGACAGGTTAGCTGCTGGCAATGTGGGATAACTCTCAGGGATACTGGAAAAATTTATCAGAACTGTGCAGGTCCTGAACTTTGAATCCTGTTTGGGACTATGAGCTTTTATTAGTAGTTTAAAAGTGTCACCTTTCTTCTTCATGCTGCTTCTTTTTTTGTGAAAAGATCTAGCCAAATTAACAGTTCACTGAAAAGAAGGGAGATTGTTCTAACAAAGTATAATAAACAACACCATCCAATCCACCATCACAGTCTGATGCTTTTACATCACCAATCAACTGCCCTGCTTCATTCTTCTCGGTAAAATAAAATAAATATTCATCTTGGTTGAACACAGGTTCAAATTCATCTAATCCTTCAACATTAACCTGAACAGTAACAGTTGCTGTGCAATTGCTTTTATCTTTTGCCTGTGCAATGAAACAGTACTTACTCTGATGTTGAAAGTCAAGCACCTGCTTGGTGCGGATATTTCCAGACAAAGAATCTATTATAAACAGGTTATGATCTCCAAGATATCCATGACTAGACAAGCAAGATGACTGGATAGAGTAGGAAAGATAACCAAATGGGCCAGTATCAAAATCTAGGGCAGAAATTGTGCAAACAGAGGAAAAAGCAGCCATATTTTCATGTATACCACATTTGAGGTTTGGAAAAACAAATACGGGGACATAATCATTAGCATCAAGGACACTAATAAAAACAACAGCAAAAGCCACATTTCTTATAACTATTCCTCCGTCAGAAGCTTGAACTGTCAAGTTGAATTATGTAGCATCCTTGTAATCTAGAGCTCTGATCAGTTGTATTGAGCCAGTTTTACCTTGTAGTTGGAAGTGCCCTTTATCATTTCCAGAGGCAATACTGTATGTGATATCTGCATTAGTTCCAGCATCATAATCATAGGCTGACACTGAAGTAATGTAATTACCAACTGGAAAATCTTCCCTGACATGAACATGATATTCCAAACTTGTAAATACAGGTGGATTGTCATTAACATCTAAAATGGCAATTGACACAGTAGTTGTAGAATTTAGATGAGCAGCTCTATGATCAGATGCAAGAATTAACAACTTATAAGATGAACACTTCTCTTGATCTAGGGTGTTTCTCAAAACAAGATTTCCAATCGTTTGATCTAAATATTCTGCCCCAAAGACAAGCTTTTTCAAATAGAATTTATTACCATTATTGCCACCAATGATGGAATACCCAACATTGGTGCCTTGATGATTTCTACCTTGGTCATTAACTGAGAATGTGAACATGTTCTCTCCAACTGAAGCATTTTCACTTATAGCAAAATTATAGGTTGCCAGGGTAAACAGAGGAATGTAAGGATTCAGAACCTGTATCTGCACTGTAACAGAAGTCTTAGCAGTCAAAGGAGGATTTCCATGGTCGTTGGCTTCTACAAGGAGATGAATCTCTGGATTACTGAACTGATGGTTCAATGGCTTAACAAGAAATAGTGAACCTAAAATAAAATAAAGCATGCATTATGTTGTGCAAAAACTTTTAGTACTAACACTCATATTTTCCACTTTCTGTATTGCACAAAGATGAAAAACTCATCATTTCAAAAGTTTTTAAGTGCTACTAAAAAGAAAGACAACATAAAAAGACAATTCCAGACAGCCATGTACTAAATGGAGTTCATGTAAATTCAGGGCTATGGAAAACATATGAAGTTATTGTGAAAATCATTATAACATGTTAATTAGTTCTTATTTCTTATCATTAAAGAAATTCTGATATTCCTAAAATGTATTAAGTTATTGAAATAAGTCACAGTAAAATAAGATGAACAGATCTAGATAGGCAAAGGATAGATATACAAATGTAAAATACATACTGTATGATTGTAATCTTTCTTCTAGTACCTTCCAATTTTACTTAAAGTCATGAGTAATATATTTAGCTACATTTAAGGTATGCTTGAAAAGAATACCTATTGAGTATCTCAGCATACCTTGAACAGGATTTCCCCCAATTTGAGTTGTTCAAATTGGTGCATTTTGTGGATCAATAAAAAATGTATCAGAGACAGAAACCATTCTGTAGAATATCTTTCCGTTGTGGTCCGAATCTTTGTCTGTGGCATGCACAGTCAAGACAGAGTCATCTAGGTACCTAAATTCAGGTATAATCACCTGAAAGAAAGGGAAAGAAAATATAGCATTTCAAATATTGACCATTTTAAAAAGTAGATTACTGATCCTGGCATTGCTTTTTCTTACCTGATAGGCATCCTGAATAAATACTGGAGGATTATCATTGACATCAGATATAAGAAATTGAAGTCGTTTGATGGTTTGATGCACAGAATCAGAAATGTTGATACAAAGTTCTAGATGAGTATTTATTTCAAAATCTAATGCCTTCACCAGTGTAATTGTTCCCTTCAATTGGTCGATTGCAAATTTATTTCCATGATTATAGCCTTCAGCAAAACTGTAGTGAAGAGGTGGGCCTAAATCTGTATCATCTGCAACTACTTGTATCACTAGGAATCCAAATGACGTACCTACAAGAATCATGCTTAAAAATGAGATTATCACAGTGGTTTTTGCATGGTTTGAATAATGTAAGCCAACCATTAATTCTATTATTTAGTAACAAACTGAAGTGTTACATTGCAAATGATGTAGTTATATAGATGTAAGGAAAATTTTAAAGTTAATTCTAAAATGAATAACAATAATATTACATTTCATTCAATATATTTTGCAACAACCACGATACAAATGTACGGGCTATTCTAAATTATCTGGGCATAGGGTTGGAAATAATATATTCTAACACCATGTATGTTGCACTTGGTAGCTTGACTTCCAGATATCTCATGGCCATGGCAATACAATTCCCTAAAACAACCTGCTTCATAAACCTTTGTTATTCACATGCACAATTATTTCAAGATAGAAATCTTAACTTTTACACTTAATCATTTTTAATTGTTACAGTACTGATCACAGAATATTAGATGAGTTTACTTTAATTATTCTTATATAACTATAAGTACAACTCTTCTGGATCTTGACAAAGACTCTTCTAATTCAATATTTTGTGTCACATTGAAGCCAATGGATGCATTTGGAAAGTCATAGAACTGGAGAAGAAAATAAAAATCCTTTTTTACTGTTGATTTCCAGCAATATTTCCAGTATCCATGATTCAAGAGAAGTAAAAAAAAACATTTCTTTTAGTAACATGAGTACTCCTTTCTTCCCTACCTAGTCTACTTTTAAAACCTGCCAAATTAGTAGCTACCATTATTACTATTTGAGTTAGATTTCAATTTTCCTCCACTAACTCAAGACAGCATACTTTGTTACTTCTGTCAACATTAAGAGTATTCTAATATTCTCTTAAAGTTGGGAGTCTTAGCTTCACAGTAGGGTTTTTTTCCCCAAAAAAAATATAAAACAGACATTAAAGCTAAAGTCAGGAATAATAAATAATAATCAATTCTTAATTTCCAGATTAGTGTGTTTTAAGCCAAAATGTCCATTAAGGATTTAAAGGAATAGATTGAATTATTTTTGTGTGTGTTTATTTTAAATAGTTCAAAATAGAATACTCATAGGTATTAGAAGTATCTCACAGAATATTTGCTGAAATTAAACTTGCTATTTAAACAAAAATATAAATTGAAAGAAAAACTATTCCCATGTTTAAAGTTTAAACCAAGCATAAAATGAGAATCATTCTTACTTTCAGAGAGATGGATAACATCAAATGGCTGCAATGTTGGGCCATTATGATTGATATCCACAACTTCTACCTCTACTGTGCAAATACTAAATAGCCTGGAATTCCTCTGTCAGCAGCTTGTACAACCAACCTATTAGGGAATCAGTAAACCTAGGATTATTGGCTGCCAGAAGCATGACACAGATTAATTAACATCCCAATTATTACAAAGTGTCTGAAAAACTGTCACATTTTTTTCAGTGAAAATGTTAATATAATAAAAGCATTTGTGTATTTGTCTACCAGTTGTTGTTTTTTAAAAAAGAACATAAGCAACTGAATGGATTTTCTTAATTTATAGAATGACATACTATGTTAACAATTGATTAGTACAATAGCATTAATAATTGCTTTATAATTCTTAAGAACCTTGATCCAGATGTTATCACTCATTTATACACACGCACACGAGAGAGAAAGAGAGAGAGAGAGAAAGTTACAAACTAAAAATGCACATATTATTATTGATTTATATACTGCCTTTTGTACAGGAATTTAAGACAGCAAACAGTGTTCCCTCCTGAATTTTTCCTGCAATAGTAACGTGATATGAACCTATATGACCATAGACCAAGAGGAATGGTATATGCAATGGTGAGAAGAAGAAAAATTACCTCCGTTAGTATAAATTGCATTGAAAAATCCTATGGTTTCAGTAGGAGGTCATTCCATACACAAATTCACCTGAGATGACATCCAATTGGACTAAGTAGTGTCTTACTCAAAAGTAATATCTATATCTATATTTTTTAAATCTTTAATAAAGTTTATTTTTTTCAAAAAAAAATCTGAGGTCAGTGAGACTTCAGTTGCTTTATAATCCACATAAAGATTAAATATGCAAACATTGAGATGGTCTAAATTCATTTTCACTGAAATTAATGGGTTTAATTACCTCATTGATTTCTTTGATACTAAAATAGTTTAATTTTGATTCATCTCATTGACTTCCTAAAGCATTACAAAAAAGTGATAAAATTCACTTAACCATACTACTTTACATCAATTACTTCTAAATTAAAGCAAAATATTCTTCAAAAGACCAAATAACTTTAATTAGTAACATTTGTACAAGACTTTGTATGTTGTTATATAAAGAACCACAGAATTCAATAAAAGCTAGAACAAAAAACAGGACGAAGCATAGACACAAAGACTTAATGGAGTGAATACGCTTTATATACTGTAAATAGTCTTAAATTGATATATGGCAGTTTTATCCCTTCAAATGTATTAATATATTGTAAATGTTTGGAGTATAGCAGAATATACACTGTGAGATAAATATGGAAAATTTGTATTTCCTTTCATTTCTGATATAATAACCTCCTTTCAAAAAGTGACATTTATTTATTTTTATTCATATGTCAGGAATAAACACAAAGCATTATAATTGGATCTTAGGATTCTATTGCCATTCATCTACCACACTGGTTCTGTACTGAGTTTTTGTGGTTTAAAAAGGATCAGAATATATTACTTAAATTACAACCTTGTACTTAAGTTTCTAAACAGCCATAATTTCATATTACACCCAGAATATATATAAGTAAGTTATATGTAGAAATACATACTAAACTAACCCGTTTCTTAAATTTCAGTGATTGAAAAACATGATAAAATATATAATCAAGGGCATCTAGGTAGAATCTCTGTCAATAGTTCCCTCTGAAATTCTTATTTTAAAGATTTAACATTTCCAGCATTTTGGGAAAGTGAGAATGATGACTTACAGTTTAAAAAAAAAAATCAGTCTTAAGGTTGGATGTAGTTTTGTTCAAGGGAAATACATTTTAAAAGCAACAATTTATTTTACAGCATATGAAATCATTTCTAATTGTGCATTCAGTTATATGTTTAGAAAAAAAAAGCTTGGGAAATTATTCCCAGACATCAGAACAAAAAAAAAACAACTCTGCCCAAATATGTTTTAGACCAGCATTAGGCAAGCAGAAACAACCTCATTTGTACGTCGATCACCTTGAAACTGTGCCACCTAAATTTGATGGTAAAATGACTACATTTCACCTTGTGCAACCTTTTATTTTGTTTTGAAGTAATAGTAATAGAGACTGTTTTGTCTCTCTTATCAACAATTATTAAGTCTGACTGATAAGAAAGTACAGATGTATGAATAATGGATGTGGCAGTAGCTGGAGGTGTGGTGGTTAAACAATATCTGCTTATCCAAGTCCTTGAAAAGGACACAAATGTCAAATCCAGTCTAACTATCTGACTGACTGTGTAACCAACCATGATAATAAAGGTGGAATGAGAGCTCAAAGCTTTCGAGAGGCACACTCAGTGGTGGGTTGCAACTGGTTTAACAACCGGTTCTGTGAACACGCACTTTGCACTGCATTTAAAATACAGCAATTTGAAGCTCAGCTGCTTACCTTCTAGGGCAGCCCCTGTAAGTAGAACAGCTGAGGCACAGAAATCAATGGTGTCGCACGATTCAGTTGAGCCAAAATGAAGGAAATATAGGACAGGATGGGGTGGAGGTGATTGGGAAGGGCCAGCTGATGGTCAAAACTACTGGTACACTAGAACTGGTCCAAACCAGCAGCAGCCCACCACTGGATGCAGCACTGCTCTCATTTTCATTTTTAAATCCTCCAACTCCTTGAAAAAGCACCGAAGTGTCCTCTAAAAGAGGGGTCTCCAACCTTAGCAATTTTAAGACTTGTGGACTTCAATTCCCAGAATTCCTCAGCCAGCTTTGCATAGTCAAGCTTTGAATAGTCAAGACCTTGTTGATGATCCAAGCTCTGTAAAGGACCTTGGAATACTCATCTCTAATGATCTAAGTGCTAGAGCCCACTGTAACTACATAGCCAAAAAGGCATTAAGAGTTGTTAACCTAATCCTATGTAGCTTTTTCTCTGGTAATATCACACTACTAACTAGAGCATACAAAACATTTGCAAGACCAATACTCAAATACAGCTCATGTCTGGAACCCATATTACATATCTGATATTAGCACAGTTGAGAAAGTCCAGAAATATTTCACAAGAAGAGTTCTCCACTCCTCTACTCGTTGTAGAATAACTTATGCCACCAGACTTGAAATTCTAGACCTAGAAAACCTTGAATTACGCCGTCTTCAGTCTGATCTAAGTATGGTATATAAAATCATACATTGCAATGGCTTACCTGTCAATGAATACTTCAGCTTCAACCATAACAACACAAGAGCATACAATAGATACAAACTCAAGGTTAACCGCACCAAACTTGATTGCAGGAAATACGACATCAGCAACAGAGTGGTCAATGTCTGGAATACTCTACCTGACTCTGTGGTTTCTTCCCCAAACCCCAAAAACTTTAACCTTAGACTGTCTACTATTGACATCACCTTTTTCCTAAGAGGTCTGTAGGGGGCGTGCATAAGCGCACCAACATGCCTATTGTCCCTGTCCTATTGTTTCTTTTATTTTTCCTATATGTACCCATTTCATGTATTCATAACTATGTATATACTTATACCTATTATCTTGTAAGCGATTGACAAACAAACAAACAAACAAACAAACAAACAAACAAATAAATAAATAAACCAAATAAACAAACAAACAAATAAATAAACCAAATAAACAAACAAACAAACAAATAAATAAATAAAACAAATAAACAAACAAAATAAATAAATAAATAAATAAATAAATAAATAAATAAATAAATAAATAAATAAATAAATAAATAAATAAATAAACTGTTTGTCTCTGATAAGCCTCAGATTTCCACTTTGTTCATTCAGCACACACATACCCTCCCAAAGAAGGCTGATGAATTCACCATCACCTCTTTCTATGATGTCACTATATCATGATGTGGCCTACTGTATTTCTTCAGAAGATCCGGAACCCATATCCTTCAAATGCTGCCCAACTATTTTAGACTCAAGAGTGCGGATGAAAGAAGACAGAAATGGTCGAAACAGAAAGAAAACAGAAATGGTGTGGATGAAACAAGACACACACATTAGGTTATGTTTGTTAAAGTACAATTCCCAAAGACTTATTTCAACATTTTGGGTTACCTCTCACACTAAAGCCTTTGATTTCAATGGACAAAATATAATGGAGGGAAAGATTTACACTGATATACGAGGCACCGAGAAAAGGCAAGGTTAAATGAACATTTAAATGAACAGAACATGAAAATGAACAGAATTGGCTTACAAAAAGCATTTTCCTTCCAGTTTGTTAGAACTGGAGACAGAGTGAAGTATCCTGAATTTTCTGGAATGTTACATTTTTAGAGACATATTTTATAACTACCTACTTTAAAAGGTCCGGTTCTTGTGATCTTACTGTAGTTGCATTATGAGTTCATTAATTTTACCTATGTCAACTCTGCTTTTTAATATGTTAAATGCACAGTTATGGGGAGTGGAGGAAATAGACAGTTTAAAGAGCATTGTATAGTATATCAAGTCTAATAATGTAATATTAGTTGTGTTATCCTTAGTTGAAAAAAAATGACTGATTAGAAATGGGAAAAAATGATTTCCAGACTGTGACCAAGAATATTTATTTCTCTGTACTTTCTCTGCAAAATACATTCTTCACAGATACTACTATTATTCCATACATAATGCTTAGTAATATTTCCCGAGAAAGGAATCTATCCTATCATTTGCATGAAGATACTTTCAGGGTCAGGGTTGAGAAAGATTCCAAGATGGAATTATGGAGAGCTCTGCCATCATGTAAGCAATAATATGCCATATCAGGGGTGCCACATATGCAGCCTGCATGCCAAATTCGGCCTGTGATAGGTCATAGGCCTGCAGGATATCCCAGAGATGGCAAGGAAGTGCCTCCCTTTGTCCTGGGCCCGGCCACGCCCATCCAATTGGCCGCAATGATCAGGCTATGCCCCCCTGGCCCCCCAAGGGCAAACAAAATCCCAACATGGCCCATGACAGGATAGAGTTTGACATCCCTGTGTGCTCCCCAAAATACCTAACAAGTAACAAAGCAAGTAAGACTGATATACCATATTTCTGCTATAGAGTATAACAATAATCACTGAAGGATGCAGGTAACAAAACTAACAACACAGCATTCATTATTCACATAACGTATGAAGATACCCAACACATTTGGTGTAGCTATGGTACAGATTCAGAAAAAGAAATCATGTGTATAATCTATATAGGTTTCTGAATAGTATTTGCTTATAATATAAATAACACATTTTCAAGGCTTATGCCAAACATGATACAATATAGATTTTATAATCATTACAAACCTATATAATGAAATGTCTTCATGATCCAGGACCATATTTGTAGATATAATTCCTCGAGCTGAATCAGTGAGAAATACTTCATTTATATTCCCCAATAAAATAGAATATTCAATTTCTCCGTTTTGTCCACTGTCAGTCTGTTGCATAGATCTGTATGGGTACAAAATCCATGCTAATCTTGAAGCAGTAAAGGTTCTAGGACAGATGCCTACCATTCTAGAACAGAAAAGCGCCTATGACACTAGAGGTTAGCTCTATTTTTTTTTTTTTTCCAGAATGTTTTTGGTCCTATTTTGGTCATGTCTGACAATATGTGCATACATAATTCAAATGCATTTCATCAACAGCTTGTGAAATACATCTCAACAAAACAGAACTTTGAGACAACTTTTATCATATTTGAAACAGCTGAAATAGTATGTGCAGTAATCTAATGTATTTGCAGAGAGTTCCAAATCCTAAATTTGTCTGTAAAACTTTTCTGGCATTCACGTGTGAACAAGAAGCGGTAACAATGTGCATGAAACCTCTTGGCTAGCTTCCTAAATTCTGGTTCTCAGTTTCCATTCAAACTGGAATTACATATCCATTAGATGTTCAGCAGTTTTCTTTCTTGATTTTGCAGTAGTAGTAGTTCTTCTTACTATGCCTCCTGATGCAACACACTACTGTACTCCTTGCTTGGTAACTTATAGGCAGGGTCTTAACACTTCCTGCCTGCCTCTGAAGGTGGAAAACTAATGGGTTACCTTGAGTAGTTGGTTGGCCACTGTGATACAAGATGGGCTAGGGATCTGATCCAGCAAGGTGATGTTTGTGTTCTTATGTTCTTACCTTGTAATATATGTATCATCGGCTTGGCCTTCCCAAACAGATGCTCTGACATAGCTTTGTTCAAACTGAGGTGCATTATCATTAATGTCCTGTAAGAGTACCGTCATACCACACACTGCTGAAGCAATGCCATTTTCAGCTAAAACTGTAAAATGCACTTCCTTTTTGATTTCGTAGTCAAGAAATTCAGTACGTTTTACTGTAATTTCACCTAAAGAGAAAAGAAGTTATCTATATCAGACTGTGACATGCGCAATGAAAATGATTCTCTCATTACAATTTCTAAATTAGGGTGTGAAAATGAAAATTCTGGCAATTTGGCAACCAGTTAGAATTTGAAATCTTAATAAAATGGTTCTTACAAAAATTAATTGATAATAGTGAGGTATACCATTTGTCTTTACTTAAGTTAAACAGTTGATCAATCAAAGATAGATAGAATATTTTGATTTTTGTTTGTTTGTTTGTTTGCTTACCACAAAAGTTTGGTTATGGGGGTCCCTTTCCTAGAGCCTGAAAAAATATAAAGCAGGCCAAAATTTACCAGAATCTTAATAGCAAAATTAAAATGTATATATTGGATAAATAAAAATGAGTGCATCCTTGTAACTGAATTGAATTAAACCACGCATGATTGAAATAAATACCGAATCTCAATTCCAGAGAACCAGAGAGGCACACAAAACTTAGAATGGGGGAAGCAGTTTCTTCCAATTTTCCAGGGCCCTAAGATTATCTTTGAAAGGTTTGGGCTTCACCTTCCCCATGCAATGGGATGCCAACTTGGTAAATTAATGTGGATATTAGCCTTGAAAACATTGAGTTACAAGAAACAGGGCCAGAAAAAAGGCTCTCTGTGTGTGGATCATAGAAAAGGCTATATTAAAAAAAAAGGTTAGCTTTCCCTATACCGAAAGACAGAGAGAAAAATAGATTTTGAGAAAATAGATAATAGATAGAAACCAGTAAGAGAAAATAGATAGAAACCAGTAAGCTCCAAGGTCAAAAATGGTACAAATTTTTTAGACCAAAAACACTTTTAAAAAGCATTGCTGTGTGTTCCCATCTTTACATTTGTCATTTGTGCCTTTAAATGAACTAAACCTATGCTTTAAAGTCAGCGTATGTATCTTCCTTGTGAATCACAACATAAACTTTGTAAAATCAAAAGTGAATGCACGAAAAAAAAATGGGACAGGTGATTTGAACCTACACCACAAATAAAGTCTTCCATATGGGCCATTTGATTTAAACTGAAAGAAGCAGAATGACAGAGACTTCCATTGCCTTTTGAGAGCACTAATGGCCAATACAAGCTCGTTTAGCCAGCTGCAATTTCAAGAAAATTCATGTGTCATTGACTTCTGTGGTCATCTTAGCTTCTTGCCTCTACAATTCCCTTTACGTGGCGGCTGTTCTTCATGACAGGGTAGTATTGCTGCTGCAGCAACACCAGCACGCACTATTTCCTAATCAGCAAGTATCCTAGTTAACAATTATTCAGTTATGTTCCTATTGGGCATATGCCAGTTTCCTGGTATCAAATCTTTATTGCACAGCATGATGATACAAGTAAATCATGCCTCAACATAATTTAAGCAAGACATCCCCATAGAAATGAAACCTTGGGTGGATATGATATATATCCTGATTATTCTGCCAACAAAAAGTCAGGCAGTATATAAACTATTTTCCTTTGTTTTGTTTTGTTTTTATTTTTACTCTATTCTATTAGTAGAGGAGTTGTTGAAAACATCTTTTATAAATGTTCCCAAATGTGAACTTGATTTAGATTAAATAAGACAGTCATGTTAATAAAATAATTGATTATTAAAAACATACTTGTGGTTTAACTAAGCAGTATGTCTCTTTTTCCACAGCCAGGAGGAAATTATGTTTTCAGCAGTCAGCTGGTATTCATTTAATATATAGCAACTTTACTTATAAAATCTAGCCTGTATCATCTTAAAATCTTTAAAACATAGCTTTATGTTTCAGGTCATTTTCTTTTTGACTTCAGCATTTGGGATAAGCTAAAGTACAAAATATACTTTTAATAGAAATTACAATTCAATTTTCACACATATATAGGGAAGGTTTACATTTCTTTTTCTGATCAACCTGTGTAAAATGATGTTAATGCTATATGTGGTAGAAAAATCCATCTTTACTTTGTTTAATTTGGTAAATAAAATTGATATGAAGTTCACAACTGCTGTACCCATATCAGAATAAATGAAATTTTAGATTTTTTTTTTAAAAAACACCACATTATTGGAAAAATATTTCTCATCAGTACAATTAACAGGCTAACTGGAGAATTAATAAACAATCCACACTTTGAATGAAGGAGTGATGTAATAACTCTGCACTGCTAAACACATACAGTATAGAACTACAGACAGTTAGGCCTTTCCATAATTTTGGAACTCCTTTCCATTTGAATTCCAAGAACACTTAGGGCTAAAATATACTTATCCATATAGAGAATTATGTGTATGCTATTTGTAAAATGGAGTAATATAATGATGCTAAAAAGATATTAAACTGTATCAATTAAATCTGAAAGTGGCATTCTGAATAGTTATAAATTTATATACAAAATTTTATATGTAATAGATATTTTTAAATATTAATAACACCGAACAGGATTTTATTAGATTAAGATTTTATTTCAGTGTTTGAGGTAAGTTGACAATGCAATGCATTTGCATCTTTTCATCCTCAAGACTGACCAAGCCTCCAGGCTCCATGTGTAGCAAGTCACTCTACTATTCATTCAAACTGTCCCACGTGGGCTTCTGTGTTGCCTGAGGAGGCCCTTTCACAATCTTCATGGAGCAATCTATAAAGTGAGCTATTAACGTATGTTGGCAGTACCTATCTTGGTACCACAACTGAGATGTTCCTTCACTGAGATTATAAAAGAGCTGAAACATTACTATGAACCTAGTAGTGTGAATGCAGGTCTCCTTCCAATTTCCACTGAATCAGCTCTCCGTGTCAAAAAAAAAAAAAAAGACAGCTTTCAGAAAAAGCAACACGGAGTGAAGACCTGTGTGACCAAATGAGAAGGAGCAACAAATACATCACCCATGAAAGGAAGAAGGAAGTCCTTGGGAGGATGGCTCATAGGTTCCCAAATCTAATCCAACATTCATAGATTCAAGATTTCCTTATTTTTTATTTTCTATGATTACAGGTGAAACTCGAAAAATTAGAATATCGTGCAAAAGTTCATTTATTTCAGGAATGCAACTTAAAAGGTGAAACTAATATATGAGATAGACTCATTACATGCAAAGCAAGATAGTTCAAGCCGTGATTTGTCATAACTGAGATGATTGTGGCTTACAGCTCATGAAAACCCCAGATAAAGTCAATTCCAAAAATCCGTAAGAGAAATGACAAGAGTACAACTGACATTTTCAGTACCTCGTGTTCTTGGTACAATTGCTATTGGCTCAAGCTGGGTAAACAGCCTTCCAACTTTTCAGACAGGAATTATGAATCCAGGATGACTTCCAATCTGCAAATCTGCTCTCTAGGGCAGTACAAACCCAGTGAGAGCCAAAGATGATATAGATCAAGAATGAGAAGGCTTCTGAATAAATAGCCACTCCATGCTGCTTGGTTTGAGCTGGTTTCTTCCTATCCAGACTGTGACATCCTCCAGAAACTGGGTCATGTCTCTTATTGTATGAGTCATTTGGCCTGGTATGTAAATGTTCAACTATCATTCAATTAGTAGTGACCCAAACTCTGAACCAATAGATTTAAGTAGTGAGTGACCTCATAAAGAAATTAAAGAGGAGGGGGAGATGACTACACCATGAAGCATATCTATGGGCCAGATATCTTCCCAACTCTACAATTACTTATTAGGTTTTCCAACCCAGGGAGAAGTGGAATGGTAGCAATAGCAATAGCCTTTACACTTATATACTGCTTCACAATGTTTTTTACAACCCTCTCTAAGCAGTTTTACAGAGTCAGCATATTGTGCCCAACAATCTGGGTCCTCATTTTACCCACCTTGGAATGATGGAAGGTTGAATCAACCTTGAGCTTAGTGAGATTCAATCTGCCAAATTGCAGGCAGCCAGCAGTCAGCAGAAGTAGCTGCAGTACTGCATTCTAACCGTTCCACCACTGTAGCTCATGATCAAAGAATGGTATTGCCAACTTGTAGTCTGGCCAGAAGAATATTGTGGTTGATTGGGTCAAAGCTTTCCAAGAGATCCAGGAGGATGAGGATGGTCCTGTTCCTTCCTATACATCACCAGGCTTGACACTTCGGGCTTGGACAACTTTGAACTACGCTGCCTACGGTTGGACTTAAGCGTAGCACACAAAATTATCTGCTACAATGTCCTACCAGTCAACGACTACTTCAGCTTCATCCACAACAATACAAGAGCACACATCAGATACAATGTAAACCACTCCAAACTTGATTGCAGAAAGTACAACTTCAGCAACAGAGTGGTCAATGCCTGGAATGCACTACCTGATTCTGTTGTTACATCCTCTAACCCCATTCCTTTAATCTTAAACTATCCCCTATTGACCTCACCCCATTCCTAAGAGGTCTGTAAGGGGCGTGCATAAGTGCACCATTGTGCCTTCCCATCCCTGTCCTATTGTCCCCATTTATTTGTACCTATTTCCTGTATTCTTAGTTGTATTTATACTTATACCTATTATCTTGTAAGCGATAGACAAATCAAATCAAGTAAAAAATAAATAAATAATAAAATAAAAAATTTAGGGCCCACATTAAGTCATTATGAGGTCAACCAATGTAGTTTCAGCCTCATACTGACTCCTGAATCTCAAACTGCCAAAAGAACAAATAACTTGCTTCTTCCAGGGTTCTCTGTACTTGTCACTCAATCACTTTCTCCATAATCTCTCATACAAAGAGATATTGCAATTAACTTAGTAGTTGTTCAATAATAGTAAGCCCAAGCAGAAGCATGATATATCTACCTTCTTAACACAGGAAGATTTGACTTTAGAAAGTTCTAAAAACAATTCTGAGTCTGACAGAGGAAAACACATAATTTTGCTGGCACTTTATTTATTTATTTATTTGTTTATTTATTTATTTGTTTGTTTGTTTATTTGATTTGTCAATTGTTTACAAGATAATAAATATAAGTATATACATAGTTATGAATACATGAAATGGGTACATATAAAAAAAATAAAAATAAACAATAGGACAGGGACGGTAGGCACGTTGGTGCGCTTATGCACGCCCCCTACAGACCTCTTAGGAAAGGGGTGAGGTCAATAGTAGACAGTCTAAGGTTAAAGTTTTTGGGGTTGGGGGAAGAAACTACAGAGTCAGGTAGAGTATTCCAGACATTGACCACTCTGTTGCTGAAGTCGTATTTCCTGCAATCAAGTTTGGTGCGGTTAACTTTGAGTTTGTATCTATTGTGTGCTCTTGTATTGTTATGGTTGAAGCTGAAGTATTCATTGACAGGTAGGACATTGCAATGTATGATTTTATATACCATACTTAGATCAGACCGAAGACGGCGTAATTCAAAGTTTTCTAGTTCTAGAATTTCAAGTCTGGTAGCATAAGGTATTCTACAACGAGTAGAGGAGTGGAGAACTCTTCTTGTGAAATATTTCTGGACTTATATGCCTTTTTTTCACTCTTTGTATTTTTTCAAAGTGTCCAAGAAATAATGGATAAAACAATAAAATGCAGCTTTCCTTTGGAACATCATACTCCAGGACGTTAGAGTAGCCCTGACTTTGCTGGCTTTTGGCAAGGCCCCAAAGTCAAAAAGACAGTTTTGTCCCTGGACATGGGGATTTGGATGTGTGGTAGAGCCCATGCAGTGACTGTTGTTGGTTACCAATTTTTGTATCTCAGCTGAGGTACTTGTAAAATTGTAAAATAAAAACCATATTAGCCACCCAGAATCATGGAAGTGAGGTTGGTGGGCATATAAATTCAGTGAATGAATGGCAGTTTGATGAAGCAAATGATCAAATGGGCACATAAAGGTTTCTATTTTTAGTATGTTTTATTGAAGTAGCATTACTTATAAAGGTAGAGAGAAAGAAGGTAAGTGGGAAAAGAAATTGGTAACTAACTGAGAAGTGGTCTTTGAGAAATATGGTAAACAAAATCAAATAATGGCACTCTCCCTAAGCCACTGGTGCTGATTTATTTACAAAAGAATGAGATATCGTCTCCAAAAATCCATAAAAGAAATAAATACACCATTCCCTCTCCTTAATTTAGAAGAGAACTGATACAAAAAAAAAATGCATGAAAGAAACAAGCATTCTATTAGTGGTTTAAATTGGACAAATAATAAAAAAGAGAGAGCTAATCCTAACCAAACAACTTTATTTAGCTCTAACTAGGGTTTAGAAACATTTGCCACAATAGGCATTTATTAAAATGTTATCAAGATAAAGGATTGGAGAATTTTACTCAATTATGGAAACAAATTTGTAATATGGAAATTATATTAATCAGTCTGATTTATTCAGGTTACTGTACATTTTCCTTTGTCAAATGATTTACAGAAGCATTTTGTAAATGCATTCTGGGAGTTGAAAAAGACTGTGTTTGTATTGTTGCTTGCAATTGCATTAACTACCTTGACTGATGTTTTTTTCCTAAGCTGCATTAGCAATAACATCTATCATAAACTGCACTTTTTATACTACTGCAAAGGCTTTGAGGGTTATGGGATCTTACAAACAAAATTTAAATTAAGTTGATTTGGTACAAATATAAAAATGAGGGGTTGAGGGACCAATGATGCATCAAGGAATTAAGCATGGATTCTGACACCAAGCTTTTTGTATAAAGCACGTTGAAGCAGCAGATTAGCCTGACTTTAGCTGACATTAATAGAAACATGCCTAAATTAGTCTCTAAACAAAGGGTGCTCCCTCCCCTATTACTTTAATAAGAATTCCATATTACAAATAAAACAGAACAAAACATAGATCAGGGGTCCCCAAACTTGGCAACTTTAAGACTTGTGGACTAACTCCCAGAATTCTATGGGCTGGAGAATTCTGGGAGTTGAAGTCCACAAGTCTTAAAGTTGCCAAGTTTGGAGACCTTTTCTATAGATAAACTCTTACTTATTGCTGGCTAGGAATAATGGTATTATAATTCACAACACCTGGCTGGCTCAATTGGGAGCAGGTACATTTAGAAAACCGATCTAGTGAATACTTCCTTCCCAACAGTCTCTTCCTAGATCAATAGCAATAGCATTTTGACTTATATTCCACTTCATAGTGCTTTACAAACCTCTCTAAGCGGTTTATAGAGTCAGCATATTGCACCCAACAATCTGGGACCTCATTTTATCAACCTCGGACAGATGGAAGGATGAGTCAACCTTGAGCTGGTCAGGATTGAACTGCTGAACTGCAGGTAGCTAGCAGGCAGAAGTAGCAGTACTGCAGTACTGTACACCAACCACTAAAATGAGATTCTCCCATGTATCCTCTGTGATTTCACTCTTAATATTCCCTAAGCTTGCTTTAATCAAAACTGTCCAAATATACTCTTATTTATATTTATTATTAGTTAGCAGCATACTGTTTTTATTCTAATATTGTATTCCCTTAGGGAATTTCCATAAAATAAACCCCTCACAAGATCTTATTTGTAACAGACCATTTCAATATCAGATTAACTCATTGAATTCTAATAATTGTATTCCCTTAGGGAATTTCCATAAAATAAACCCCTCACAAGGTCTTATTTGTAACAGACCATTTCAATATCAGATTAACTCATTGAATTCTAATAATTGTATGCATATCTACTCTCTCTCCCTCCCTCCCTCCCTCCCCCCCTCTCTCTATCTCTCTCTCTCTCTGTGTGTGTGTGTGTGTGTGTGTGTGTGTGTGTGTGTATGTATGTATATATATATATATATGTTTGAATATGTTGCAAATATTAAGCCTGGGAAAGCAGCTTACATCTTACTCATACTTATATGCCTTGTTTAGCAACTGCTTAGTGCAGAAACTGATTATAGTTATGATGTTGATGAAAAAGTAATGTTGTGACCATTCGGTCCTAAATCTAAATATCTGGATTGCACAGTAGCTATTGCCTGATTTATAGGTGTTTGAGAGGATATTTGAACTTTAAGAGGATTCTCTAAGAAAAAAGGATGATTGTCATTTACATCTTCAATCTGTACTATTATAGTAACACTGGCACTTCTTGGTTGCCGGACATCCGAATCTGTCGCTAGAGCTTTAAATCCATATTGAGATTGTCTCTCTCAGTCCCTTGGTTTATGAGTAATGACAACACCCATAGTTCTGTTAATAGTAAACAATCCAAGAGTTTCATCCATTAGAGTATATACAACTTTTCCATTTGGATCTTCATCTGCATCTACAGCAAGCAGTTCAAGAACTGATGACTTTTCTTCAATATCTTCACTTATAATTGCTTGATAATGACCTTGTAAATAAAAGGCTGTTGTCATTTTCATCCAGGACTATGACTTGTAGTTCCATAACAGAACTTCTTGCTGGATTGCCTAAATCAAAACACTCTATGACCAAGGTAAAGTTATTGACTATCTCTCTGTCCAAACTGCAAGTAGTGAAAAGGTCTCCTGAAGTTTTGTGCAAATCAAAGTATCTTCCCATATTACCACCTTCAAAATAATACAAAATGAATATGTCAATTAAAAACAAAACAAAAACAAGAAAAACTTTCTATACTCTGTTATGTATTTACATATAAATACTATAAGACAAAAGTCCCAAACACTAGAAAGTATTTTACCCAGAATTTTAGAGATTAACCATTGATTCAGTATTCAGATGCAGGACTTATATTTGCATTGTGAATTTAAGAATGGCTAATATTTTTAATGAGAATTTTAATGAGACAGCTATACTTTTTCAAAGGACATATATACTTCCTGTATTGTAAAATTTAAAGAGCTTTTAAGAGTAATATTGTATTGAAATAAATAAATCATATTAACACAAGTTAAAAGTACAAAATGCAAACTATACAATGACCACATGAGTAGTTAAATAAGGGTCAGCAAATGCTAAATTTCAAATCTTCCTTTTTTGAAATAAATTATTAATACATTATTAAATTATTCATCTTACCAATTATTTTATATTGCACAATTCCGTTATTAGCTATATCATCATCCACAGCTTGGAGAGTTGTTACTGTTGAAGGCAGTTGGTTCTCCAGAATATCAGAAACTGGAAAGATGATCTTAGGAGTATGATCATTTTCATCTAGTACTCTAAAGATAATTGAGGTTGTACTGGATAAAGAGGGACTGCCCCCATCTTGAACAAGCACTATAGTTGAAAATGATCATATTTGAAAACTGATTTATAGTAACAGGTTGATGAGATCAGATTGCGAACCATTCCCTAAAAGGTCAATGCAACACTGCTTTGTTTCATTCAAATATGTTCACGTGTATAGGACACAAATGATACAAATTAAAGGTAATGCCTTCCTTGAATATTTCAGACAAATTAAATTTAAAGGGAAATAGTCAATTAAAAATTATGTATAATCCCTCGGTCATTGTACGTATAGTATCTCAAATGCCTTACCTTTAATATGAAGAACCTCTTGAATTTCCCTGTCAAGCGAGGTGGCTGTTTTAATTTCTTCTAGTATTTGAGTTTATTTGAAAATTCTCATATGCAGGTCCTGGCAATATGTCATATTTAAGTAGGAAATTGATTCCTTAAAATAAGCACACAAACACACACACACAAATCAGTAGGTTTTAAATGTGCCATTTATAATATTAATAACAGCTTTCAAGCAGTTTTCTGGTGTATTCATTTATTACAGAGGTGATATAGATTTATTTTTTCTATATATTTGTTCTGCACTATTTTATTTAAAAATCAATTGTAAGTAAAGATGTTTAAGGATAAAGATATATTAAATGTGAACATTTAGAGACTTCTTTTAGACCTCCGAAGGGTTGAAAAGAATGTAGCATGACTTTAATTTGAATATTATGTGGCATTTGCAAGTATTAAAGTTCTGTATTGTTAAATAAAAGAGAAAATATTCTGATCAAAAGCTAAGCAATAAATGTTGGTAATAGGGTTTTTAATGTTATTTTGGTAATTAGTAAATCTTTACTAGTTAAAGAGTTTACTTTAATATTGGGAATTCTTAATTTATTACATGGCCAAACTGACTTGTTTGAAAGGCCAAATTGATTCGTTTGATCAGAGAAAAGACAACATTTATGTGTATTTCTTATGGATATTTTGCATAAATCAGAAAAAGATGAATTTATAATTTATGGGTTTGATGATTAGATAAGCTAAATTATAGAAAGAAGAGAATCACAATGTAATTTATAGAAAGAGGTGAATTTATAATTGCAGTTATAACTGTTGTAGAGAATATTGAAAGTATTGTATTTCTTTTCCCTTTTTTCTATTACATTTTTCTTTCTTGCATTTTTACCTCTCTTTTATTTATTTCTTTTTTCTTCCTTATTCTATATTACTTTATTAGTTTTATAAATATTTAATAAATAATATTTTGCACTGTCCATTTGAGGAATATCATCCATTTAAACATAAGCATTATACCATGATTAAGTAGGTGAATAAATTATTCATAATCACACTATGAAGCAAAAGTTTAACCTTCCTGTGATAAGTTGAAAATTGATTCTGTAAGTATATTCTGGTAATGCATTTGCAAGTGTAATCCTTCAGTCAATTTAATTACAACACATTTCTCTACTACGAAGAATGACCTGATATATCATATATCAATTGTGAGCTTTATTCTTTGAGAATACCATATTCTTGATTTTTATGCACGCCCCTTAAAAATAGAGCTGTGATATAGAACATATAATGTTCCATATTAGTCAGTTGTCATGACAGAACTCTGCCGTATCTGAGTGTAACAAAAGAAAAGGTTACTCATGAAATTTAACAGCTCTTTATTTTTTAGAACAGCTGTATGCCTTCTGTCTGTAATGGGAAACTTACTTCCCATTGCCTTTTATACTTTAATATGAAATTGCTTCCATATTTCTTGTGGTTTTAGTGCTGAGGAAAGCATAGCATCTTTCTCAAAATGTTTACAGCAAAATAATACTGTAACAATAACTATAGTCCTTTATTATAGATAAGTGTATATGTCAGGTTATTATAGATTATTTTACCTTCGGTTATTCAACATTTCAATTATAAAATGTTGTTTCCTATTAAATGGTTTCTAAATTGCATTCTTGTTTTTACAACCTTATAAATGGTACACAAGGTTCTTAGGTATCTTCTATTGTTGTGTCTGAACTGGGGAATCCAAACTAAATGGAATGGAATGGAATGGAATGGAACAGAACAGAACAGAATTCTTTATTGGCCAAGTTTGGACACAGAAGGAATTTGTCTTTGGTGCATATGCTCTCAGTGTACATTAAAAAAATACATACATCAAGAATTAATGGGGGAACTAACATGAGAGTTGAGAGAAAAGCTCTAATAAGAATAAGTATTTTATTAGTTTCCCAAGAAATAAGGGAACATCAAGATCCATATAGGCTACATAAATAGAAAAGTAAGTAAGTATCCATCCTAGCTAGTGTCAGAAAACCAAGATTATGGCTTTTGCCAAAACTCCATTTATAGAGCACTGATGGCCACAAAATAGAATAAGTGACTAGCTTTTAATATTTAAGAATAATCATACATGCCACTGGCTCAAGCCCCTGGGCATATGTGGCTACTACTGGCCAAAGATCTTCTAATGCTATCCTTATTTTTTTCCAAATCAAGGGAAGATATTATGTTCCAACTGAAGTTTCTCAAGCTAAATCTCTAGCCCAGTTCCTTCATGGGACTTTGGTTGGGCCTCCAGGTTTATGTTTCACCTCTCTGGAAAAAGTACAGTCTAAATTCATCAGAGCAGTTCTCCAGATACCGCACTGTGTATTAAACTTACACCTACGACTGGAGACAGGCATGATTAAAGTTGAGTCCAGAGGCTCTAGCTTCTATAAACCTTTGCTTAAAGCTCAACTTCTTTCGCCAAGGCTTAGCACCACTGATCCTCGGGATAACTTCCAATCCACATGGATCAAGGCTGTGGAATTGTCTTTCAAATTTAAGCTACCCTCCCTCCACATCGCTTAAGATGGAATATGAATCCCTGAAGCAAAGGTTAAAGGATACAGAAAGTCAAACAGATCCAGGGATCTTCCTGTCACCACTACACATATTCCACATTGTTACTGCAGCCAGCTGCTTCACACAACTAGTCACACCTAACTATCAGAAAGCTTTCTGTCTTGCCCCATGCAAGAATTTGCCCGCAAGCAAGAATTGGTGAAATAAAATAGACAAAGTAATAAAAAATGAGTTATCTAAAATGCTCTGGGACTTTAGATTTCAACCTGACAAGCATCTGCCACCCGACACCCCAGACTTAGCAATGTTGATAAGAAAGACAAAATAAATCTGGACAGTGGGAATGCAAAACCTGAAAACAGCAGAATAGATCAGAAAAGCACAAAATTCAAAAAACCTGCAAATGGAAGAACTATGACAACAAAGGAAACAAAGAGAGTGGCAATAATATTGGGCATTTTGTGTGCAATTCCAAAACATCCAGCGCACTAATTGAACACTATTGACCTTTACAAAATCACCATCAGTCAATTACAAAAGGCAGCCTTCCTTGAAACAGCTTACATTCGGTGATGACTTTAATATTATTAAACAACATCTGGTTATCCCAGGTCCTCGAAAGTACTTGACAGCTGGACAAAAATAGTCCTTTATTCCAAGTCTAAACATCTTTCTGACTGTGCAACCAACTGTAATAATAATTGTGGTGTTATTGTCAAAACTGCTATAGACCCAGATCTAAGTAAAATTAATTCTTGGCATAAATACGATGAAAGTCAGACATTTTCTTCTTCTGAACAAATTCCAAGATGTTCTGTAAGTGACAATCAAAATGTTTATGGAGAAAAAAACAACAATTCTGTTGCCCTTGGAGGCCAAGAAGATATACCATGAACAATAGATAAATTACTTCTGTGACTCTATATTTTTCATATTAAAAAATTCACACATGAAGAACAGTCTAAAGTCCTAGTCAGGGTGCATCAGTGTTTTGCCAGAATACTGGCTAAGATAAGAATCTACCATTAAAAAAATCAGCAATATATTCATACTTCTATTGTTGCCACAGTAAAAATAAGGAGCCAGTTTATGAGGTTCTGAAATGATGCCTGAAATTATAGATTGCATTCAAGACAAGGCAGAAATGCACACTGTATGCAAACTGACACTATATTATACTTAGGAAAGAAAGGAGACGGAGGAGCCCCATCTGATTTTTGGGAAAAGAAACCTGGGATATTTGTGGTTTATTTCTAATTCAGTGCTTCCTGTGAGTTATGCTAAGTATACTTTTTCTCTCTCCAACTGTGTTGTTTGCAATGTGGGGAAGATTTCATGATGAGAGAGTTGGCTATCTACAACTTCTTTGTTGCCTCCATTTCCTGGTCCCTTGAATCATCTGTTGGTCCATAGAGTAAGACATGATCCACACAGTGGTCAACCAGTTTCTCTTTTTAATGTACTTCTCTGCAAAATACGTGTGTGGATAATGCTTTATGTAGAAACCCTATTTCTTTTTACAGAAGGAACACAAAAGGGCAGACACAGGATTGTCTTTGTGAATTTTGGAACAAAGAAAGGACTGAGATAGCAATCAAGGAGAGAAAAGCTACGTTTCCTTGAACAACAATTGTTGACTTGGAAACTGAACTCAAGTCTATGCCATTAGATTTCCGCTTATGAAAAATCAGATACTTTAATATCTGTAAAGAATGTCCTGTGGAAAAGAGTCTTTTTTACACTGAACTAAAAAAATCCTTTCTAAAGTTCAAAACTGGCTTTTATTTATGTATACTTTAGGCCCACTTTACAATTTCTCATGCTAGAAGCCTAGACCATTTTGTAAGAACAGCATTGATTCTCTTCAGTTTTGAGTTCAACTTGCTGGATAGAACAGAAAACAGGGTTACAAAAAAGAGACAGTGAAATCTCATTTTTTGAATAATGTAGCCTTTTGTTAAGAAAAATTAAGATATATAGCTTTTAACTTTGCCTCAGCTACAATATTCCACATTATTCTTTACAAGCTATCATTAGAGAGTTTAGGTATTTTCTCAGGTGAGAGGTAAAAATTAAGGATATTTCTGTCATATATATATTCTCATGCTTGAACAAGGGGTTGGATTAGAAGATTTCCAAATGCCTCATAACTTCTAGAACTTGCTTTCTAGAATAAGATTTGTAATGACAACTGGCTTTTTAATACATTAACACAGTTGACTGAAATTCAGGGAAATAAATTGGCAAGTGTAACATATACTACAGCTAGCAACATATACTATAATTATAGAAGCATAACATTTGATAAACTAATTTTCCTAATTCTTAAGGGAACTCTGTCACATTTCATGTTCTACCATTCTAATGCTTGTATTTTTATATTTTGTCTGTCTGTCTGTCTAGCTAGCTAGCTAGCTACAGTCTCTCTCTCTCCCTCCCTCCTACCATTTATATCTGAGAATTTGAAATGCAAATTAGATGGGTGCATATGTACGTTCAGGAGCTGTAACTTGAGTGTAGAATTATTTTCATTTAGAAAAAAAGTGACATTGATACCTTTTTCCTTCTGCATTTAAT